GGGGTGGGATTGGGAGGGGGGGGGGGGATGAGGATGGGAGGTGGAGGGCCATGGCAGGTTGAGAGTGACTTCACAAACTGTGTTTGGGCGCATAAGGGGGATTATGTAGACCAATTCCAACCACCTATGCGGTGTCTAGGATGCAACTTTTTAATCGGTTTTGATCTGCGACCCCGAACACAGTAGAAAGGCCGAAACGCTTCAGTCACACTCACTGTGTGGTCGGACTCGACGAGGTGTGAAAAGATGGCACTTGTAATGGTTTTAAACACACCAGTGTTCAGCCAGGCCGAATGATGTGCCCGAACTCATGTAGATAGGTGCCTACTCGCGCGGCCGATATACGCTGCTCCACAGGAACACGTAAACTGGTACACACAAAATGAGACTGCAGAAGCAGGAATCCTGTCTTTGAGTTGCGAACACAAGATCAATCTGGACGTAACTACGATATGTAATTTTGCCGCGTGAAAAGTATTCTCCAACGCAGTTCCTAGTTTGCGGCTAATCAATTCTGCTATTGTATTCCCTTCGAGTCATTCGTGAAATCAGTGGTGAGGAGACAAATCGAACGAAAGCACAATATTCCACGAAAGCGATTAGATCCTGCGAAACCCATTAGTGAGTTCCTAACAAATCAAATTACAGCAAATGGTCACAACTGACTAATCAGATTGAAGGGACACATACGGCTAATTAAAACTCTCGAACAGAACTATATAAGCGCGGTCACACTGAGGACTGGCGCTTTCCCGAAGTTGCACTGATGATGTTGTCTAGCCTGGCTACGAAAAGTCTGCGAACAACACCCCCAGCTCGGAGAACACAACATCACCAACATCCGCATCCCGAGCTACAGTCGCTCCACATTATTTTCAGCGACGCTTCGTTGTTCGTGATTAATTACACCGAAAGACGCTTCACACATCCACCGAGTGATTGACCAAATTAAGTGCAAACACGCCGTGTTCGTGATTATATTAACTATTTCTGTCTTCAATCAAGTCGAATGGTGTTCACGAAGGCGATCCGTTAAACACCTGGTTATGCAGCCATTGGACTCATTCCCATAGGAACAAAAGAATAGGTGCCAGCAAATGAGGTTGTAGAATGTGACACTCCATATTTCAGTCGGACACAATCCTTCTAGATTTAAATACAGCTTTCACTTGTGAAGTGTGAAATTCAACCTCCAAATCTGTTTATTTATTTCTTATTTTTGACCCCGAGAGGGCGTCTTATCCAAATTCCGAGAAGAGAAGTCACAGGTAAGCCTCTTCGGAATACTCATCAGTCAGTTTAGTCCGGTGGGCACGTTTTCACAATGTCGTACGTACCGGCTTGACTGGCTTATATCGATCGAAAGTTTGGAGTCAGATATGAACAGTTAGGACGGGAATTTTTCACCCCCTTTTGTTCTTGTTGTCGGTCATATTGGATGTTATATAATGGCATGATTACGAATAACCGAAAACTAGCAAGTTCACCACGCTGTTATCGATGTCGAAGACAAGACTGCTAATTACAACGGACAATCCGACACAACAACGCGAAAAACGAAAGAGAGTGGAGGTCAATCTCCAGGGCACATATAATACAACCAAACATTCACGTTGTTTGCATAAATCGGGTTTGGAAGCATGAATTACTAGAGCCTCAACTAACTTCTGGAACTGTGCTGTTGTTGGAAGTAACCTGAAATGTGTCGGCTGGAGTGACACCATGTGTTGCGTAATCGAATATCTGAGTCCTTTCAGCCCAGTCTCCAGCTTAGCGTCTATCGCTTTCGTAAGTCACACCGGGATGTGCTCGGCCAGTTGGTCACGAAACTGCCTCTGTGGCCTATGTAGATGACCGAGCATCCAAACTTGAATTGATAAATGAAATTTGATTTGGCTGTTGGAGGCAATGGTTGTTTCACAGATGTCTTTGGTGTTCAGATGGTTGTGATGATAATGACAAGTCACGAAATATGCCTACTGATTAAAAGCCTAATGTAGACGAACATATATTTTCGGTGAACTCGCTTTCAAGCCTTTACAATCACATTTGTATGAAACATTTCAATAGGGTCAAACAGAAAGGTGGATGAGTCATGAGTTTAGCAATGAGCCCCAAAGAACTCCAAATTTTTTACACTCTTTGGATCACTTAACCAAAATCGTTACGTCGTGGTGTTACGTCATGATGGTGTGAACAAGCGATTTTCTCATCCCTTGCCCAGGGGAGTTTGAGAGCCTGAATCAATTGGCATTGTGCGCACAGCTCAGGCTTCCTGAGCCGGAACTAATCCCCTTTCTGTTTGACCCTATTGAAATGCTCCATATAAATGTGATTGTAAAGGCTTGAAAACGAATTTACCGAAAACATATGTTCATAACAAGTGTTCATAATGACAAATATGTAATAGGTGGTTCAGTCACTTGCTGACGAATTAACTCATTTCACCGCCTTTTATGATAAATTTAAAAAGGCTTCCATTTTGAGGTAGCTATTGTTTTTTTCCTGCTTTAGTGTTGCTTTACAATGACTGGCGATGAGTTTAACTGGAAATCTGTTTACGTGTAGTACTTTCTAGGTCATTTTCTTCCTATTTGAAATCTTCTGTGCATAATTTATATGCTCTGTGAAATAGTATGCCAGCAAGACCAATTTCGTATCGGATGGAATCGAAGCGCGTAAAATTCAGATATTACCCAGACCACGTGTTCTTTCGGAACACCGGTCCTTTAATCGACCCATTCTGTCGTCGAATTACGTTTATATCTAAACACTCGACGCGGTATCCAGACTGAAAGATATTTGTACTATTAGGGTAATGAAATCGTTGAAAATATATCATACACCACGCATAATCAGTCGGTATTTTAAAGAATTATTCTCTGAATCATTTTGACATTTTACATACATATATCATAGCCGGGTTTCAAATCACTACACCGCTTCACCACCATCATCACAACGATCATCTTAGATAAGCTAGTTCAGATTTGATTCGCAATGGTTAACATTTATTTTGAAACGATTTTTTTCTCCGAGGTGCGAAAATTATTGAACTGTTTGAGTACATTATAAAGATAGTTAATCGATTTGCGATAAAAATGTTTGTGATGACCCAGAAAGAGCACTAGATAAATGTTTCGTCCTGTTTGGTACGCTTCAGTGTTGCGAACTACTTGCCTCCCTGCCAGGACTCGAACCACAGATATTCGGATCAGGACTTTAAAGCCCTTATCACGGAGCTACACGGTTGACGATCGTCACCTTGTGTGAATGGCTCAAATAATTTTAGAGTATTCGCATTTAACTCACGGTTACAAGTTAATTTTAGAGTGTCAAGGTTGAATTAAATACATTGAACTAGTGGGGAATCAACGATCTCCCAAGGAGTGAAATCCACAGTCAAGACCATCATGAGTGCTTGGAGCCTCAGAACAATCAAATGAACTAATCCAAACTTGATACTCCAAAATACTTAATCGAGCTTTTAAGGTATGTTTAACCGGAAGTCGCTACCTATTAAAGACGGGTTTTATATTCTAAGAGTTCGCAGTGGACACAGTAGACACATCAGCTCACTCGAGTAGATCTATAGCCCTATGCTTTACTTTCTGAGAAGTAAAACAATTATCTTTTAGCAAAGATGGAATTCAATGAGTACCAAACAAATGTAGAAATAAATTACTTCCACATTTTCTCTCTAGTTGCTCTTATTCTAATAACTCCAGTTTTCATCGCGTCTTTGATTGAACACACTAAGCGTTATTTTGGAAAACATGTTTTTTTACAAATCGGTTCAGATAGCAGGTACGCTCAGATAAAAGTTTTGCTCAGAGGTATACGGATCAACAAATAGGAACTAAATTTTATCATTGGTAATAGTATATCAACAATTTTAGCACCATTTTTACTCCTATGTATAAATAGTAGGAAGTTTTATTGCCATTCACCTGTCCGAACTCAGGAGATCAAAACAGATATATTGTAATAATCGTCCTCTTGAGAATTAATTTCAGCTAGATTTAACTTGATAAAAGTATTCATGCACGAGTTGTCCTTACACTTCAACTGTCCACATAATCATTCTGTGAAACTCTCTTATCCCATAAAACTACTCATTCCAAATACTTCAAGTGGAATTTTGTGCTTTACCTGAAGCAACAGATCAAAGTAGAACCAAACCAAATATTTGTGTAGTTTGATATTCCAGTTACTCCTAAATTGTATTCATTTCCTTCTCAGGCTATTTGATATACTGAATAGCGAAAGGAGTCTGGGATGAGGGTGAGCATAAATGAACTCGCAAAGTGTAAGACCAACACTACAGAAAAATAATCCACCAACGCCATACCTGTGAATTAATATGTAATTGGAAGAAGATTAAAGAGAACCCCCTTGTCCCCCTCCTCGTTCAACAGTACTGAAACAAAATGCGTCTTAGTGAAAATAATGTCATTTTTTATAGACACTTCGAATACCATCTTCCTCGTACTGTTTACGTGTAACGCATATATCGGAGAATGTACTCAATGAGCCCAAAATGGAACCACCAATCCACACAGCATATTTCCTATCCGGATTTGAGTGCACACATACGGTTTGTCCAGCCGGACACAGACGAGTAACTTCTTTCTGCAGTCGTTCTACAAATCCGCGAAACATAGTCCCTCCACCGCTAGGAGTAATGTTCGTATAGAGCGTGTCATGCACATGTGGAGCACAAGTCTCAATGCTGTCACGCACCAGACGTCCCAACTGAAAACCGGGTTCATTTCGTGTTCCCGGGTTGAATAACAGTTCCGGAGCGATTATTTGCTCTGTGCCGACGGTCAAGTACGATCCGTCTGGCAGATGATATTTTGTCAATAAGTCTGATGCGCTTGACTTCGGTTGCACTGCAATTTCCGGGCTTTCCGATACAAAACACAAATGTTCTTTAATATCACGCACAATTTCGTGCTCTGTTGCACGATTCAAGCTATAGCCTTGTTGAACAAGGAGGCGTTTCAGATAGTTGGTCACATCTCGGCCACCCACGGTCAGCTTAATGGTAGCTTTAGGAACAATTTGCATATCGGTAACTGGAACAATACAGGTGCTTTGTTTTCCAATATCCACAGAAAGACCAGACGTGAGACCGTAAGCACACAATGCCAGTACGGACTGGTCAGCAATAAACAAAGCCGGGATACGAAACTCTTCGAATGCGAACTGTGCCATCAATTCACGACTGTGGCTCGGCAGAAGAGGATAATCAGCCACCAGAAGGGGATGGTCTTGTGGGTCTACTTTCAGCTCCTTGAAAAACATGTGCCTCCATATTGCATCCAAATCAGACCAGCTAGTCACGATTCCCTGTAGAATTGGACAGCTCAAATGCAAGACACCTCGATTGCGTAGGGCATGCTCGCCAATAAATGCCGGTCCACTGGACTGGTTAATCTTAAAGCGACCAATCACCGAGGGGAGCAACACACGAGGACTGGCTTCACCGGCAAAACCAGCTTTGAGGTAGGTTGATCCGTTATCAAAAACAATCGGAGTATTTTCATTCGAGCAAAACTTAATATCGCTCATTGCAAAACGTATGGTTTCTCAAAATTTTCCCACAATCTAATCACAAAAAATTGTCTTTAACCATACATCTGGCTCCTCGAGTAATGAACTTGATTGGGTGTACATTTTGTCGACCTGTAACTGCTTATGTGTTAATGTGTATGTGTGCACGTTTATGCGCATGCTNGCGCATGCTTTTGCGTTTGGCTAAAGTTTTCATGCATAGATAGTCCTTATCCGAATGTACCTACAAGGATGGAGCGCATGACCATGTCACATGGTTCATTTGAGACCTGTGCGTTCAGTCTATTGTCACAGCCGTACTTTGGCAGGCAGATACATCATTACCTTCAGCATGACTTGTCAATAGCGGTAAACAATGAGCGCTATGAAACATCTATCCAACCGGTGCTCTCCACCCCCACACATAATCTGTTAAATGTTTAAGATAATCATCACCGGATAATTAATGGTCATTTTCATAAGTTCCAGAAATCGATTTCAAAGCTTGTAATAGTTGATGATAAAAGCGTATGCCAAACTGTAGCCGAGGCTCACAACTGATCACAACTGTTTCTATTTATNATGCAGTTCCTTTACGGATCAACACAATGGCTTCAAATGTATGAATCTGGCTTGCATAAAACCCATAAACAAGAAGTGAGAAAGTGATCACTGTTCAGTTTTCCTGTCCTAGAGAGAAATCTCTGCTCAATGGGGGAACGCTGTCGCACGGTTTGTCAATCTTCAAATCGCGAGGTAGTGTATCATATGTAGGTTTGACTACAACAATGTTAAAATGGATTTTTATATACCAAATAATACAATCATTCTTACTCCTTTTGTCCGAGCAAGAAGTATCAATAAAAGAAAATATTTTAGAGAAAATAGTCTGGTTTGTTTTACTAGCTTATAAACTTACTCATCAGTTGCTGGCGGTAATAAGATGATAATGGTCTATTCACGATTGAGATTACCTTAACACATTATGTGGACGATATCAATCGCCAATTCAGCAATGCTGAAACCGACACCCCTATTCCATTNGATGGACTGCCACCTGTTGTGCTCAAAGAATGTGCAGCCTCCCTTTCCCTGTTTTCACCAACCTATTCAACCTGTGTTTTACTAAACATTGCATTCCGGACTGCTGGAGAGTGGCTTCTATCACACCAGTACCCAAAAAGGGATCCTCCGAATTTCGTCCGATTGCTTGCACTTCTGTGGGTTTGAAAGTCATGGAAAAGATTTTACTACAAAAGATGCTGCCCCAGCTGAATGCACCTGATCCCAATCAATTTGCCTACCGCAGTTCCTGGTCAACCATTGATGCGTTGGTATCCATTATTCATTATATCTCTTCCTATTTGGACAAGAAATGTAAAGCTATTCGGGTGTTTCTTTG